AGATTTTTTTTGTCTAATATTATTCCCAAGAACTTAAATTGATCTACAAATGGTATTTCTGTCATAGAATAGGATAATTGTGCAGTTTTCTCTTCTGGCAGAAGTGCATACATTTAGTTTGTTTTTGTTTTTTTTTGTTTTAGAAAACCTAAAACTATTTTCAGTTAACCATTAGGAAATATTATTAAGGCACTGCTGTTATTTTTGTTCTGTTATGCATTTGTTTGGATTTGTAAAAAATGAGGAATTCGTCTGCTCTGGAGATTAAGCTGTTGGACTACATTATTTATTTTTTTACTAAACAGTGACACTAATAAAATACTTCCTTCGAACACTCCATCTACTTGGTTTTTTCCAGGCAGAAAGAGATGATCCAACCTGGAATTTCAACTTCTGTTAGTATAAAAATATGATTCCTTTCAGCCTGAGGGCATGCAGATTACACTCGATACCATAATTTTATGTAGATTTATATGCTTTCTCCAGGTCGAAAGGACTGCTGTAAGGTGCTCTTTTCGTACAAATACATCTCTTACAGTTATTAGTTTATTTTTCTTCAAGTACCACATCAGTCTGTCATTTATCATCCGTCCCATTGTTTTACACAGAGAGCTAGTCAGGGAAATAGGTCTGTATTTTTCTGGGTCATAGTTGTCCTATACAGGTTTTGAAACTAGCATTATAGTAATTAACAAATATCCGGCGAATTACTATTATTATTAATATTAATGTATATTGTTAAAAGTTGTAAGGATTTTACTGGTAATTGTCTTAGTAATTCGTAGTCGGTCCAACTGCAGTGTTATGGTAACATTTTACGGATGATTTTAATTCTCCTAAACTCAGTGGGTTGCTGTAGCTTTCTGTAATTATTAGATGTAATTTTGAGTTCATATTTTGTGTGTTTAGTTTTAGGACTAAGAATTTTGGTTCTGCATATTTACTTGGAGACTATGTCAGTTATGATATTGTTATTTTTAAATAGAAAGATCATTGGTGCCCTTTGGTAATTTGCATCTATTTTCCTCAACAATCCAGTAATGATTTTGTTTTCGAGAAACAGCTCAGCTTCATATGGTTTTTACAATCTTTTTTGGCTTCATTCACTGCTCTACAAGCCATAGCTCTCTGTAACTTGTAGTTTTTTTAAGTTTATATTTGTAAGTTCTTTGTTAAATTTTCGTAGATTTTTCTTTCGTAATCTTATGGTTTGTAAGCATTTACTATTGAACCATGGTCTGTTTGGTGTTTTATTTTTAGGGATGCATTTCTTTGCTACAGTGATTAGTATCTCTGTCAAGTGTTCTGCTGAATCTATATTGCTTTTGTGTTAAATTTTCTTTACAAATTTCTTTGAATTTGTCTTAATTTGCTTTGTTCATTTTCAAGCAAGATATTTTTTCCTATTTGCTTTTATGTTTTCCAGGAGAATTGAGCAGTGCCATCTTACAAGAAACGTTCATGTATACTGTTGGGTTACATATGTCGAGATTGATGGTTAAATAGTTTTCCGAAAAAGGTTTTTATACATGTACCTTCCTAAATACGACTTGGTAAGATAGATAAAATGTGTTATCTTCCCCCCACCCATAAATATCGAATCGGCTATTGCTCAACACTAAGTTGAGAATATAGCCTGTGCCAAGTCGTATACAAAAGAGTGGTTTAAAATCATTCATACGGCTGGTTCCAACAATCATTTGAAGATTTTGGAATCAGTCTGTATAGGATTAAGGAAACCTTCTCTCTGCCGGCAGAAAGAATTTGTGAAGTCCCTTAATCTGTTGGGGGATATTTTATTTTAACTGTCACTCGTTAATTTATTTACACGTTATTTCCCCTCCCCTTGTTATAAGTATATGCACTTGTTTGTTATTTTAGCGTGTTTTTCCCATTTTTTTTTTTTTGCTCTTTATTTTCGTTGCTGTTCTTTTCGTTAATTAATTATCCAACGATTGTCTCCTGATGAGATGTTGGTTGAAAGGGCCTTAGAAAAAAAAAAAAAATCAATAAATTCCTACTTTTTAAAGCTGTATATAAATTTTGTACCTCTAAACATTGATATATATATATATATATATATATATATATATATATATATATATATATATATATATATATATATATGCCCTTTATTTAGTAGACATGTCATTTTCATTTGTAGGTTTCTCGACGGTTTCTCCCTTCAGGACCCTGTCATTATTTCTCCATACAGTGTTGTGGCTATAAAAGTTATCTAATAGAATAAAAAGGTAAGGCATCAGATTTTGGAGACCACTTTCATTTACAGGATCTTTTAGTGGAATATATACCGAGTATATTTTAATGGTTTTATGTTGGATGGTTCTAATAGCAACTACCTGGAAGTTTTATTCATTTGGCTCTGTTGCATGTTGTTTCTAATAAAGATTAAATTTCCCCAATAGGCCTTTTGTGCTGCTCCGTGTATATCGCTATATATCTGATAATTTACTTTTCTATTCATTTATATATTTAAAAAAAAAACATTTCTTGAAAACAAACAAAATCTGGACATAAGTCTGGTAGCAACAGTAAAAGTTCGTTAAAATTACTTTTAGCCCAAGGCATTTTATTGAAGAAATTTATTTACAATAGTTGATTAAGTGTATGTGTTTGCAGACATATATATATATATATATATATATATATATATATATATATATATATTGATTTTATTGGATTTGTATGTTCTTTTATTGTGTATCCATATTTTCTTTCCATTGTAAGATTTTTGTTTTGTCATGTTATGCCATTTTGTTTATGATGTGTTCAGGCTGTAAGATCCATTTTAATTTCCATTTAATCTAATATTTGTGGACTTCTCCTTTGTCCTTGTTTGGCTATTTTGGCCTGTTTTTTGTTATTTGTCCTTTTTTTTTATTGTTTTTGTCTATGTTTCCTTTTCCTGAATTTTGTTTCATTATTTTCCTTCATTTTCTGGGGCATTTGTTAGTGAGAGATATGTCCATATTTTTCATGCTGTTTTTAAGACTTTTTATGAGTTTTTACAATTCATTTGTTAATGATGTTTATTGTTTTTTTTTCTGTTTTGTTTTGTGTCATCATATTTCCTTTATTTATATTTAGATTTGGCTGTGTTTTGGTGATGTTTCGCATACTTTCGCATAGATTTCTATCGTTTTTCTTGCCTCTGGGAATGGAATGTTTCGATTTTCGTTATTATTTGATTATTTCCTCAGATTTTACATTCTTTAGCATAGGATCTACGATCTCCATTGCAGTTGGTACATTTAGTCTGGATTTACATAATTTTTCATCATTCTTATGTTCTATATCTCAACGTCTTACACATAATTGTTTTCTTTTACAATACTCCTTTAGATGGCTATACCTTTGATATCTGTCACATTTTCTCGAATTTGGTATATATTTATCTACTTTCGCTATTAAATAGCCAATTTCAAATTCGGATGGTGGTGTAAGTTTACAGACAATCAATATATACATCTTTGTATTTTTTAAATTTTTTTTTTTTTTTTGACGTCAGTCATTTTCTTTTTTCTTTTTTTTTTTTTCGAGAAGGCTTTTATCTCATGCATTGTACAAAGAGACACAGGTCTCCATTATGGACCACTTGAGGTGTTTAATCTTTCATGTGGGTGTGTTATGGAATTTTTACAACTTTAACAGTAACCTCGAATGTTTTTATGTAGTATTTCAAACATACTCATTTCGAAAGTCATTGAAAACCAGGATCACATAGGCAGACAACACAGGTGGCCTGAATGGTGGTCGGCGTATTCTGAAACTCCAGCCGACAGGGCAGATATAAGATAGAGAAAGTCACACACACACACACACACACACACACACATACATATAAAATATATATATATATATATATATATATATATATATATATATATATATATATATATATATATATACATTTTATTTCAGAATATTACACGAAAAACACGAGAAAACGATACATAAATGTAATCATGTTTCGATGCGTATTAACACATCTCATTCAGGCGTTAGTAAATAATTGGTGAGTAGAAAATTTTAAATTGAATGTTACGATCGACGGAATTGGATGCTATTCGTTCCATTATATATATATATATATATATATATATATACACACACACACACATATATATATATATATATATATATATACGTATGAATGAGAGAATCATATATATAGATATATATATATGTATATATAAAATAGAATTATATGTATATATATATACGAGAATTATATATATAAGCAAGAATTTTATATATAAACGAGAATTATATATATATATATATATATATATATGTTATATCACACACACACACACACATATATAAAACCATCTCCACGACAGAAGACCATCTCCACAACAAACTGGTTACAACACTGATGAACAATCTTTCTCCACAAAGGTGAACATACTGCCCCCAGTTCCTACGTATCAACTAATATCCCAAGAGCTTTGAGATTAGTTTTGATTCAATCTTTAAAGCGTTTTCTAGGTTTTTGTTTGGGACGCTTGTCTGCAGATAGTTCACCATAAAAGGCATGTGTAGGCAACTTTGACTCATCCATGCACACCAAGTTGCTTTTCTGGCGCATTTGATTGGGGATTATTAGCTTCTGAATACGGGTGATATTAGCTTTTCTCCAGAATTTTTGTGTCAGGTATAAAAGACTGCCATGAAATATCGATTATTCTTCTGATGAACTTTTGGTTTACGCTTTCATGACGTCTGTATGTTGTCCATGTTTCTGAAGAGTACAAAAGGGCAGTCAAAACACATCTTTGTGTCAGGTCATTCTCATGGAATGCTACTGGTATCATGTAAGCCAGTACTACCTGTTGCATGGCCGGTCAGTCGGCGACTAAACTGGTTTTCTCCACCAGGCCAACCTGGTGAGGAGGATGGCTAGAAACCTTGCAGGACAAAAACAAGGGCGGATATATATATATATATATATATATATATATATATATATATATATATTACAAATACAGAAAAGATGTGAAACCATTGCAAAGCCTAGTAAATTGAAAAACACTAATTTCCGATTGACTGAAGAGAAGAAGATGTCCAGACGAAGGAAAAGAAAAGAAAAGGATAATACTTTTATTGAGAGAAACAAAAAATAGAAGGCAGAAAAACACTAATTTCAGATAGACTGAAGATATACCGATGACCAGAGAAAGGAAAATGAAAGAAAAAGATATTCGTTTTTCATTGAGAAAGAACTAGAAGACAGAAAACAATAAATTTCGATTGACTGAAGATATCCCTATAAACAGACAAGGGAAAATTAAAGAAAAGAATATTTGTTTTACTTAGTAAAACAAAAATAAAAATAATAAAAAAACTAGATAAAGGTAATTAAATTTCTCTTCTGCAGGAGAGGTAAAACAAAGAGATCATCTGGTTTCGGTCAGAACTGAGAGATCGAAGTAACTTCTGGAAAAAATAGATAATATTTTTAAGGCCATTGACTTACGGAGAGGAAGACAGACCCCTGGCCGTGAGGTAGATCGATAAAAATTAACTTTACAAGCAGCCTGGTCCCCAAAAGAACGTACGTAAAGAGTTATAATTATGTTTTTTATCATCTGAAACGCGATAAAACTTCCCAAACCAAGGGATTGTTCCCTTTTTGTCATTTGCTGGCCAAAGGGTTGACGAGGGGATAAAGAAATCATAAATCCCACATGAGAAAACGACCACACCCAAAAGCAAAATAAGAAAGAATTTTGAACGATAATTAAAATTTCGCCGCTTGGGCTAGACCATGCCTAGCTCTTGGGGAACGGGCTTGATCAGTGACCAAGAAGGAGAAAGCCTAGGTAGAATTTAAGGGAAGGCGAAGGATTTTCCACTCCCCTTGGGCAGTGATGATAAGAGGCACTCACACAAAGCAGAAAGTAAACTGGTTTGATCAGGTGACCAAAAGGAGAAGCCCTAAGTAAAGGAATCACCCATATTTAGCCGTTTGCAGGAAGAGCCCTGATTGGTTGTTTGAGGGATGCGGGCATTCCCAGAGCACATCAGGCCTCCCCACTACCCTACCGCATGGGTCTATAAAAACAGAACTCTGAGACACTACAACAGAGAGACACAACAGAGAGAGACTGCACAGACGATACTGAACTGAGGGACGAGCACCACCGCTTCGCCTGATCTCATGGAATTTGACGCCCTGAAGAAAAATCCTCCGATTTAGAGCGTTGTTCTAGATCAACTGACACAATGCAATCAATTGACACAATATGGGGCGAGACAGGCGATCAACACTACAAGCAGCTGATGGGATCGAACTTAAAATAATTCAATAAAATCACCATTCTGGATGAAAATCATCTCCTCTGGAAGACTTCGGAATCTCTTGCAATTCTTCTGGACGGTCCCTTTGTTTAAATTGGTGAAAGCTGCCGTAATCCTTGCCCTCAGTTCATCTTTGGTGTTACAAGGAGTTTTATTATTCTTTCGTTCAACTGTGCTCAACACATAATGATCAAGGTGGTTACAGTTTGGGGAGTAGGCGGACATATATAAGAGGTGATGTGGTCGCAGAAATTGTCTGACAGCAATGACAGGTTTCTTCTGCTTGTGTAGCATGGTACACAGTATTGTTGTAAGATGTAGCGTCTTCCAGCGGCCATCTTTCTGACCCAAGGCAGCACTTGATGTTGGCCACCGTATTGAGACTGGGGTACTGTGAGAAGATGAATGCATGCATAATGACGCCATCACTAGTGATCACTCCAAATACATTTGTAATCCCATTTAGACATCCAACTCTTTCAGAATCGTCTGCACTCTTCTCAGATTAACATCCAAACACTCCAAAATGTTCGTATTGCGGTTCCCGGCATGAATGCCTATCAGTACGGCGCTCCGTTTCCAAGTTTCCAGCGGATGAATTGTGCCACGGTGCATGGTTTTCTCATAGACAGTGTCCAATTGAACCTTCCATACTGTACCGTTGAGAAAATCAAAAAGAAACAAACACGCATGTGCGAAATTGAGATAAATGTCAGTACAAGAATAACGATAATTTATGTATATTATTTTTCTTAATCGGCATCACTCCACGCAAGGCAGTAAAGCCACTAAGACTCAAGCGTTACAGAGTGTGGAAAAATTAATATCAGAAACATTAATACTGAGCGGAAAAAGAAAAGACTAATTAGGAGGACAGTAAGTAGCGATTGATATTGCATTTAAATTTTTACAGATTAAAATTGGCTAGAAAGCATAGGAGCCCAAAGATATTTCCACAAGAGAGAGGTACGAGAAAATAAACTGTTTGAAAATAACTTACGGCTACATCTAGTCAGATCGAATGTAATTTGATGAGAACTCAACGCTAGTCTAGTACTGCGCTTAAATTCAAAATTCTAGGTGCCATAGCGAAGAGCTCGTACGGACAATTACCATAAAAGTAGTACTTATAGAAAAGACACAGAGAGACAAACTTACGGTGGTGGAAAATCGACTGAAGCCGAGCCGCCAGACCAGGGCCAATAATATTGCTGATTCTTCTTTGGATCTTATCAAAGATCACAGGGTAAATAGCAGGAGCACGGGATTATATGTGCCAGAAATAGTTTTTCCACTTCATATCAGTAGAGAACGAGAGTCCGAGAAGGTGCAACGTGTCACTTTTCAGGAAGTTAACATCAGCCATGCGGATGGAAGGCAGCGAGGGCTGTCTCAGATGGAAAGTAGTTTTACTTTGGTGGCGTTAAAATTAACAAGCCAACTTTTGCCCCAGATAACGATTATATATACCGATACGTCTGCATACTGATTTCTCAGGAGAATCTGTCACGCAAACACACAGATGAACACGCACATACAAAAATATATATATATATATATATATATATATATATATATATATATATATATATATATCGAGAGAGATAGCATAATTTGTTAGGGGCAGGAGAGAATAAAACAACGCATAACCAACATATCGAGTTTTGAAAAATGAAAGCTAGACTTAGGAGAGATAACAGAAAGACACAATTTAGTAAGAGAAAATTGTGGAGAACCATGATAATCAACGTCCAGAAGGGACACGGCACAAAGAAGAAAAATCAAGAATTATTCGTATGTATTTTTACCATTTTCAGACACATACGATCGTGTCTGTGTGTGCATGTGTGTACTTATACGCATTTTTCATTAAATTTTACATATTGTTATAAATTTGTACTCGTTTATGTGTACAAGTACGTATAAGAATATATGAGATATTTATATATATTTACGTGTTTAAGAGTTTATTATATATATATATATATATATATATATATATATATATATATTAGATGCTGTTATATTTATGCGTATATATTTATTTTTCTATCCATTTCTATGTATTTTAGTGTCCTTTTTCCTCAGCGAAGTTTGTTTGATTGATTTGAAACTTTTAAAACCCTTTATTCTCCATCCAATGCCATCACTTGATAAGTCACAAGAAGTGTTGAAACAAAATGGGTATTTTTATAGTGATTTTATAACCTATTTGTGTTATAAGTTTCGAATAAATAATTATATTTGCTTTAATCTGTATCGAGCACTCTTTTATAGGACTTTATAGTATTCGATATATATATATATATATATATATATATATATATATATATATATATATATATATATAGTTTGAAGGTATGCTATATTTCTGGGATAAATTGCAATCGTCATGCCTAACAATTTGGTTTAGCATGAAAAAAAATCTGTCGCCTCTGAATGTTGACTTATATATATATATATATATATATATATATATATATATATATATATATATTCATGAATTATTCATACAAAAAAACAAATACAAAGGTTAATGATTTAATTGGCGAGAAATCCATCTTCGCGAACAATTCAAATAATATACAAAAAAATAATAAGAACTTATGCAACTGAAATTTATAAAACAAGGATCTTTTCATTCATAAACAGGTTCAGGGTTTTTGTATATTATTTGAATTGTTCGCGAAGATGGATTTCTCGCCAATTAAATCATTAACATTTGTATTTGTTTTTTGTATGAATAATTCATGAATTTGTAAATTAATTGCACCTTTATTGAAATTAAAATAATTGATCCAAGTGCAACTTTCGGATAATAGGTGCGACATTACTGTAATTATTGAACAATATAGTTCATGCCACTTTGACGGAAAATTTACCAGTAAAAAAGAATTCTCTTATCACTATATTTGTACAAGAACGCACAACCTTAAAATTTAAATTCAAACTCACCGTTGCGACTGCACTCTCCAAAACAATAACACATTTCTCATAGCATTTTTCGGATTATAATACATCTATTTTCGTTGTCCTCTTATTACTGAGAGTAAAAACAAGAACAAAATCTATTCCATACCTGAGGATGTCTGTAGAAACTGACGAAAGCTTGTAAAAATAATAAGAACTTATACAACTGAAATTTATAAAACAAGGATCTTTTCATTCATAAACAGTTTCAGGGGTTTTTGTATATTATTTGAATTGTTCGCGAAGATGGATTTCTCGCCAATTAAATCATTAACCTTTGTATTTGTTTTTTGTATGAATAATTCATGAATTTGTAAATTAATTGCACCTTTATTGAAATATATATATATATATATATATATATATATATATATATATATATATATTAAGCATTTCAATCCAAGCAAGGCGAGAGTGCCACTAGTACGCAAGGGGCTACAGAGTAAGGGAAAATACTGGCTATAGGAGTGACTGAGGAAAGGGTAAAAAGATCGGGGATCAAGGCAACAGAATATGTCGATTGATATTACATTAAAATTTTTGTTGATTATAATTATCAGAGAAGCAAATAAGAGGAAGGGAGTTTCACAGTCGGGAAGTGCGAGAAAAGAATCTGTTGGAGTTGACAAGGTGGTTACATTTAACTATTTCGATAGTAAAAGGGTATATAATTAGGGAAACACAAATTGTGCGTATCCAAAATCAGGTATTGTAACTGTATACTTGGTTGGTTAATCGATAATCTGATTACCTATTTGATTACTTCAATTAACTTGTGACGTAGTAACACTCATGACAGTGCACCAGCTGTGTCAATCAATGATTTGGACTGTGACACATGCTACAGTAAATGTAAGTGTAAATGAAAATGTCATGGAAACGGACGGGTGTTACTTTCATTCAATTAAAGCCGTTTCAGAGAAAACGGACACTAGGCCCTCGTAAATCTTGGATAGTCATTCGAAGAGCTGATAATGATAGTGGACATAACACGTATGTATAGCTCTGATCTTTGCAACAACATTCCTATAGCCACGAAATCAGGTTCAATACCGTCCCGTATTACAAATGCTTGCGATAATCTTGTTTAAGAACAATAGTTGCAGTGTGCGTGATCTGCACACTATAAACTAGATATATGAGCCCGTGGCCGACTGGTTGAAACGTTCGTTTTCTGACCATGAGACTCGGCTTCGAATCTCAACACAGTTGATTTGTCAGGAAGTAAATATCCTGATGTTATCGGTCTGGAGTGGGCGATCCCAGCGTGTGACACCTTTAGAAAGTGCCTGAAAACCCTACCACAGGTTGACCCAAGTGAAATTGGTTGAGGCGAACTCTTGGGGACCGTCGATAGCTGTGCTAGCACGAAGTTACAAGTCATCGTGACCGAGAGTTTGAGTGTGCTGGCCTTGTTCAGTTTGTTAATCACGCTAGATAACATGCTCTCTCCCAGAAACTGTAACGAAAGTCTGCTCAGCGTAGTTGAAGTATAAACCACAGGTTGGCTCTGTGGGTGTTTAACATACAAAAGTGTGCCTGAGCGAACGTCTGCGATAGGGATTGGCTAGCCGCCCTAATAGACGGGTATCCTCGAATACGAGTGGCCAGCTATTATTATTATTATTATTATTAGGTTGGTGCCAAAATAATGTCGTTTTTGACCTTAAGTTGAACGTCAAAAAACGACATTATTTTTGCACCAACCTAATATTATTATTATTATTATTATAGACCAGATCAAAAGTGACTCCTGATATGTTAAAGTGGACCAATTGGTGTTTTTTTTTTATTTGACGCTCTCTTATCTAATACGTGCATGGTGTCCAAATTCTAATATAACATGCCAGCTGCATGCGACCGTTTTCTCACATTAATAATTTAAAATGGCTTCAAGCAAATGAA